TGTTCAGCGTGATATCAACTGAACTGTTGGTAAGGTCTAGAATTTTTGTTTTTGCGGTGTTAATTTGGAGTCCAATTTGTTCTGAGAAATTCTGGAGTCGATTGATTTTTTCTTGGGCGTCTGTGTGTTCTGAACTCAGGAGTGCTATGTCGTCAGCGAAGTCTAGGTCTTCCAGAATTTTGTCAACCCATGTAATGCCTAAATTTGCGTTATTTATGCACTTGCGCATGACCCAGTCGATTGCTATTGCTACTGTAAGCTACCCCTTTTTTTTCTCCTTCTTTCCTTCTTCTCCATTCCCTTTCATTATATTTCTTCTTTTAACCCCCTTCCCCCCCTTCCTCCCCTCCCCCAACTTTTCAGCAGCTATTTATTTTCTTCCATTCTTTTTTCAAGAGAAAAAAATCTTAACTGAAGCTTATGCAACACTTCAGGCAATGTCTGAACAAGAACAGGATACACGACTCTAATACTGGTTCAACAGTGGTTTGGTATATAAGCTGATAATGTCAACAGTATTACTACAATAAAACAATGGCTTAACATTTAATCAATTCTTTGGAATTTATATCTTTTCTTAAAATCTGAAAAAGAAAGTAATCATTGATTCTTTCCGCTAAAAATATATTTTACTTTATCAGAAAATCTAATATCTCTAAAATCACAAATTATCCACACACACAAAAACCCATTAAAAAAAAACCAAAATATGATTCCACCACTGTTTACTGTCATTCTCAAAAGGTTTACCTGAATGGTGTGACAATTATCAAGACAGAATGCAATACTGTCTCATCATACAGCTTCCTTTCTTTCCTTCCAAGTTGCATCTGCCTGAGAGGCTAGGAATCAACAGTATGCACAGAAATAAGCTACATCTGTAAAACAAATGTGCACCAAACAAATCTCAAGTTCTGGAAAAAAACCAAAGTTCAGAAATGGATGAACAACCAGAACTCTCCATTGGAGTTTACAGCTGTGAACTTGAAGAAGAAGATCAAACAACAGATCCTTTGATGAACATCATTTCCATCCCAACATACCAGGAAGCCACTCAGTGCCTTGCATAAAATCTCATCTATAAACTGTCACACCCAGGATGTCCTCAATATCCTGTGTCCACTGTCATTCTGGTCAACCCCTGCCTCTTCTGCCAGGAACCCCACTCTCAGCTAATCTTCTCTCCAAACACTTCCAGCATTTGATACGGCAGAAGGTTTTTAGTTGGATTGCAAAAATATTATACAATTGACTACCAAGATGTTTACCTGCAATAAGCTTTGCCATTCTTCTCATGAAAGTCCTCTTCACCAAATGGACGACCACACTGGGCACAGAAGAAATGCTCGGGGTGCCACATCTTTTCCAAGGCAGTGATGCATTTCTGAAATAACATTAGCATTCACATAAGTCTACACCTATGATTTCTAGATGGTAAACAGCTATGAATGAGGGAAGTCAAAGACAGATCAGGAATACTAGTTGGAGGTTTTAATTAGGGCTGTACCGAATATTCACTTCGTATTCGCTTCGGGGCCGAATAGTGGACCTATTGACTGTTCGGTATTCGGCCGAATAGTTGCGGTCGGGCCGAATACGAATAGAAGTTACCTTACACCTGCTTCTGCATACACTGCCTTAATGCTGACAACATGAAACGATTGGTTTTGTTCAAAGCTAATGGAGCTTTCCTGCATTAACTAAGCTGTCAGTGACAATTTCCAAGTTTAATTACTTGTTATAATACTTAGGATTCTTTCAGTCCTAGTTATTAGTTACCACAGACTGACTGAAGGATGCAGAACATAAAATGTTTTTAAATATTTACTATTCTGTACGAATACTAACTAGACATGGAAAGAATATGAATTTGGGCCACATACAAGTCGATAATATGAAAATCAAATGAACGAAAACATATAAGTACTTGGGTGCAAACTTCAACTGTTCCAACATGCTGAGAGAAGAAATACAATCTAGAAATAAAGTGTACTATGCCCTTCAATATCTGCTAAAGTCAAAGTGTCTGTCTCGCAACACCAAGATCAAAATATATAAAACGTTGAAAAGACCAGTCGTTTTATATGGCTCTGAAGCTTGAAGCAGAAATAAAAGAGATGAGGCCTTATTACAGGTTTTTGAAAACAGTCTTACGAAAAATCTTTGGACCCATCAAAGATGCTAACATTGGGGAATGGAGAGTGAGAAGCAACAACGTAATACATAATCTGTTTAAATCACGATTGATCACTGGCATCATGAGAGCTAACAGACTAAAATGGTTGGGGCATATTGAAAGAATGTCAGATGACAGAGAAGTAAAAACTGTATACACCTGAGAGAGGAATGGGCGTATACCACAAGGCAGACAAAAAATAAGTTTGATAGATAATGTCCAGCTAGACCTGCAAACAACTGGTGTCACAAATTGTGAAGATAAGGCCAGCCAGAGAGATGAATGAAGACGAGTGATATCTTCAGCAGTTAACCTCAAGGGCTCGGAATGCTAAAGAAGAAGATGACTGTTCTGTGCTACTTTATGTGAAGTAAATGTTCAGCGTAAATTTGGCATTATGAATGTTTGTTTTTTTAAGATATATTTTATACACTATTCATATTCGTTTTCAGCTGAATAGTTGGTCCCGCTATTCGTATTCGGCCGAATAGTGAAAATCACTATTCGGTACAGCCCTAGTTTTAATATAAACAATCTTCATTTTGCAGATGATACAGTATTAGCAGCTGAAAATGTAGAAGACCTACAACAACTATTAGACTTTGTTCTACTAATGGGACTCTCCTTGAATATCAAGAAAACAGAAACAATGGTTATATCAAAGAAGAAGATGACCCCAACATGTAACATAGAAATAGAAGGGAAAGTGCTTAACCAGGTCAATAAATTCAAATATCAGGGAACATTCATCACATCAGATGGACGATTGTGTGACAGAAATTAAGAGCAGAATTGGCCAGGCAAAGGCAGCTTTTCAGAAGATGACAAGTATTTTATGTAATAAACCACTCTCATTAAACATCAGAAAGTGAGTACTGAAATGTTAAATCGAGCCTGTTCTGTTGTATGGCAGTGAATCTTGGAATGTGAGCAAACAAGTCTGGAAGCAATTGAGATGGGGTTCTTGAGAAGAATGTTGAGAATACCTTGGACTGCCAGAATAACTAAAACTGCATGTCTAGAAATGGCTAATAAAAGTAGATAATTATATACAACAATGAGAAGGAGACAAACAAAATTCTTTGGTCATGTAATGAGAAAAAGAGCACTGAAAAATATTGTGACAGCTGGAAAGATCACTGGTAGAAGAGGCAGAGCAGACCAGGAGAAATGATGGTGGATGGCTTAAGACAGTGGCATGGAGGAATATCATCAGTAGAATTGATCCATAACACCAAAGACTGAGATCTGTTACAACATCTGAACACCTACGCCAGCTGGCAAAGCACTTGAGGATGAGGATGAAAAAACTATGGCATCTAGTAAAGAGTCTAAATGAGGAGAATCTTACCAGCCATGCCAACACTGTCAATGAAGCCTGCAGCAGACCAGGAAATGAGTTAGCTGACAGACTTGCACAAAATGGAACAAAGGAGAAATAACACACCCATTCACTGTCATTTCCATAAATCAAAACTCTCATCAAGGAAAATTACAAGGAATTGTGGAGAGAACAAACCAACATTAAACATCCACAAGATCCCATCAGCAGACTCAACAGAAAGCTATAAATATACAATTTTCCATCTATGAACAGGATATTACAGGCTTAACTACCACATGCACAAAATAAAGATGTTAGTAGTCCCCACAGTGTGCCTGCCAGACAGGACCACAAACACCTGAGCACATTCTGCAGACCTGCCCACTCTACCTACAGCTTCGAAAAGACACCTGGCCTCAAGAGCAAAGTGTGCAGAGCCAGCTATGGGGAACCATGAAGGATCTCCTGCTGAGATTTGAGTTCACAGAGGCTTATGCTGCAAAGTGTTATAGAAAGGAGTCAGATGTAGTTTCCTGTCTTTTGTTAGTTGTGTAGCTTTAGTTTATGTCATACTGCGTTTCTGTAGTGTCTCTTTCAGTCCCTCCACCCATCTCTTTCTCTGTCAGCCTCTTGACTGGTAGCCTCCTGTTCTCAGGTAGTACACTCTGGCTGCTGATTGATTTAATTCTATTCTGACCAGATGACCAAACCATTTTTTTCTTTGTTGTTCTATGAAATCATTTACCAGTGCTGTGCCTAGCATATTTCTGAGAATTTTACTGGTAACTCCACCCCCCCCCCCCCCCCCCCCCCCCCAATTTCTTACACATCTAATCCCATCTAATCATTGTAATTTACATTATGTTTTTCTAGGACTGTCCATGTCTGGCTACAGTGTAGCACAAAGCATGAACTCTGTAACGTCAGTGACAATCCCCTATGCATATATGCTCCAACATTATAGGAATTTGATAGCTTAATCTGCCTTCTACGGGTGATGTAATCAGTGCTACAACATCCACTTTATTTGCACATAGCATTTTCTGTCACACATTTACGGCCCGACTAATGTTTACCTGCAGTGGCATACCTAGGATATAGCAGGCAGAGCAGATGCCCTGGGTGCCACTTGAATGTGCAAAGAACCATTTTTTGGTTTTTGGTTGAACTGGCAGCACCTCATCTGGAGGGAGCACAATAAGTTTTTTTTTTTTTCTTAAAGAAGGTTACAAGGGCAGCACTCTATAAAAATATTTACACTCACCCCTGACCAGCACTGCTTACATAAATTTATTTCCTTTGAGTTTTAGTTGCAAAGGCATAATACAGTCATTAAAAGTAGCCCTAAAAATTGAACAATGGCTAACACAAATTACACAAATTTCCGGACCCTCCTGCCACGGGTGTCAAATACCGAAGGTATTCTCTGTTTACCTGTAACTGAAAGAGTTGAGCAAGTCTTCTTACATACTGAAAATTATCTATGACTATTACTGTAACAGTAAACACTCACATCTACAATGGGTCCGTTGCAGTAGGCACATCTTGGTGCAAAGAGGTGATGGTAGTCAGTTTCACAGTAAGCCTGAGAATCCCGCTCATAGAAGTTCTTGGTACCAAGCGGCTCCTCACAGTGGGCACAAACAAAGTGCTCCACGTGCCAAGTTCGTCCTAGAGCAGCGATAACCTAGACAGAGAATCAAATATATATATGTGTCAAGTTCGTCCATCCGAGAGCAGCAATAACTTAGATAGAGAATCAAATATATATGTGTCAAGCTCGTCCATCCGAGAGCAGCAATAACTTAGACAGAGAATCAAATAAAAATGTGTCAAGTTTGTCTGTCCGAGAGCAGCAATAACCTAGACAGAAAATCAAATATATATTTGTCAAGTTTGTCTGTCCGAGAGCAGCAATAACCTAGACAGAAAATCAAATATATATTTGTCAAGTTTGTCTGTCCGAGAGCAGCGATAACTTGGACAGAGAATCAAATATATATGTGTCAAGCTCGTCCTTCTGAGAGCAGCGATTATCTAGACAGAGAATGTATCAAATATATATGTGTCAAGTTTGTCCATCTGAGAGCAGTGATAACCTAGATAGAGAATCAAATATTTATGACTATTATATCAGTCCTGGTACCCTATTTGTTTAACCTGTACACTTGTGAAATTGGGAGCTGCCGTGATGTAGTGGCTGGACACTCGCCTGCGGTTCAGAAGTCAGGGATTCAGGTCCTGACGGAGCTGGACTTGAAAAGACCTTGGCTCCCACTTCAAATGGGTGCCAGGTAAAGTTCTAGGAAGTAAATGTGGTCGGCGTGAGGCTGACCCCATCACCCACAAAGTGCCTATTGATCTATAAACTATAGGTCTAGTCCTATATATGCCCACGGCACCTGAAGGCGTGGAGTAGGGTTCTTAACTCTTTACCACAGGGTTTAACACCACAGGCCCCAAAAGGTAGTAAAAGAGACATAAAATCAGCAAATCATGCGTTCACTGGTCTTCTAGGTAGGAACTTGTGAACATATAATGCATTCCTTGAGACTCAAAGAGTTAATTACTTACTTACACTTATGAAATTTCAAAACTGCATTACAAACACTGGGTCCTCTGATGCTAAACCATCTGGGACTGAAGAGTTAAAGGTGAACCAGAAAAGGATGAATTCTTAAAGTGCTAACTGGTTAAAAAATATAAGGCTAGTTCTGTATATCCAATGTGTCTCATGGTGGGACCAAAAAAAACCTTTACTGTGACATTATGAACTACAAACCTGGCCAACTATGGGTTTCTGACAAGCTGCACAGACTCCCTTCTGCTTGATGTTGACCCCCTGTCGGTTCATGTCTGACTGTAGGTCTCCCAGCATGACATCCAGCCCATTCTCCCTCTGTGTCTGTGAAAAACAAACGTAGTTGCTACACAAACATGTCCTGTACATAACACCTGCTGCTGAGAGTCATGGCGGTGCAGCAGCTAGATGCTTGCCTGTCAGTTTGAGGACCACTGGATCAAGTCTACATCAAGGAAGCCTTTTCTCTGTGTAATTGACATTGGCTACTAGGTCCATCCAGCCTAAGGTGGGTACCTAGAAAGGCCGCAGGTGTGATGTTTGTTGACCACATTACCTATACAGTGATGATTTTTGGGGTGGGGTGGGGGGATTGGGGTGAGGTGGGGATTGGGTGGGGGGAATGAATACTGATGCTCATATATTTGTCTCATCAATTCAACTGTCTCAAGAGCACTTTTCTGAGTTTGAAGAGAATTAATGTTTATCCTCAGCTGCATATTTAACAACACAACTTTCACTAGCTAAACAATGTAAATGTAGCTAAAAAGTTCCAAGTGGTCTATTTAACATATTACTCTGCCGAAATTTGCTTGATGTACCATCCATGTGAAAACTGTCTACTTTTAAAATGCTTACTTTAAACAGTAGGACCCAGCTGTTTTTCTCTCAGGACCCAGCTGTTTCTCTCTCAGGACCCAGCTGTTTTTCTCTCTCAGGACCCAGCTGTTTTTCTCTCAGGACCCAACTGTTTCTCTCTCAGGACCCAGCTGTTTTTCTCTCAGGACCCAGCTGTTTTTCTCTCAGGACCCAGCTGTTTCTCTCTCAGGACCCAGCTGTTTTTCTCTCAGGATGCAGCTGTTTCTCTCTCTTACTCTCTCAGGACCCAGCTGTTTTTCTCTCTCAGGACCCAGCTGTTTTTCTCTCAGGATCCAGCTGTTTTTCTCTCAGGACCCAGCTGTTTTTCTCTCAGGACCCAGCTGTTTTTCTCTCAGGACCCAGCTGTTTTTCTCTCAGGACCCAGCTGTTTTTCTCTCTCAGGACCCAGCTGTTTTTCTCTCTCAGGACCCAGCTGTTTTTCTCTCAGGATCCAGCTGTTTTTCTTTCTTTTCTCTCAGGACCCAGCTGTTTTTCTCTCAGGACCCAGCTGTTTCTCTCTCAGGACCCAGCTGTTTTTTTTCAGGATCCAGCAGTTTTTCTCTCAGGATCCAGCTGTTTCAAAAGATTTTTTTTTTTTAAAGATAAGAAGAAAACATACATGGTGCTGATGCTGCTGATACTGCTGCCTCTGTTCTTGGATCTGGTGGTAGCCTGGACCCATGCCATGTGGGGTGGTTGGGCTAGAGGTCGATGCTGTTCGACTCTTTATTGGTTTAGCATAGGCAGGTTCATTCAAATCTTCACCTCCTTTGTTCTGCATCTAGAGACAAGAAACAAAAGGAAACAAGGAATTTGTATTTGTACCATTTTGCTTGACCGGTTGGCTGGTGAATTCTCTGCAAAATGTTGTTTTATTTGTCAACTCTATCCATCCCAGAGGTCCCGGGTGGTTAGCGTCCTTCGAATATTTTTTTCAGGCAATGATGGTGTGTTGGAAAATGAGCAGGCTGATAGACTGGCTGGTTCTACATTACTTGTGTGAATTGATGTATGACAAGCTAGATGTTGTGAGAGCCCTTTGGGAGCAAGAGAACAATGCAGAGGCACAGACAGATCATTATGGTTTCAAGAGAATGGCGTTGTGGGGTGGGGAGTTACCAGACGGAGCGCTTATGGGAGCATCCCAAGTGCTATGATGTTGATTCTTAATTCAACATTTTTTTGTTCCAAGCAGCATACTATGTGTGACTGGATATTATTTATGTGTAACAATCAATGCACTATATATGTTTTTATAGCTAATTTGTAGTCAATAAATATTTTTTTAAACCCAGACAACATATCTGTCTCCTACAAGGATTGTGCATTTGACCTCTGTGGAAGCAGTATAGTGATGAGTTTAGTGATGTCATTCCTCTCTCTCTCTTTCTCTCTCTCTCTCTCTTTCTGACACTAGTTAAGAGTAAAACAATGACATTCAGGTCATAAAAGGTCCTGCCTCTACTGAAAGTAAATACCTGAGGTAATTGATAAATATTAAATGGGATAAATTCAGGAAAACTGTAAGACAAAAATGATGGCAATACATTAGGAACATCATGAGGAGGAGCTGACAGAGAATCATCACATGCGGGCTGAAACAGGAAACAAATGGATTAAAGATTTAAGGATATCCAGGAGAAACCCAAATCTGATGACTGCTGATTACAAAGGTCAAAAGCACTAGACTGGATTCCATCAATGAAATAGAAAACATTGGATAAGATACAACAGAATGGAGGAATAAAGGGTTTCTCTTTGCCTCTTCAACCACTGATCTTTCCAGCTGTCTTCTTATTTTATATGCTGAGTATAATTTTCAACTATGATTAGCCTTCTTCTGTAAATCACTGTTAGTAATTGTGGCTGTTCTGGGTCTTCACAACCTTCACCTCCACAACCACTTCTCCACTGTCTTCAAGCTATTCCTTATTTGTTTGCTCTCACTCCAAGATTCAATGCTATTTGTCATAAAGGGTCTGACAAACATTTAGTACTCTCTGACATTCAAAAGAAATTAATTTATTACATAAGATATTTGTCATCTTCTGACAAACCGTTTTACTGTGGCCTGTCCTGCCGTTAACATATCTTTGCTTCATTAATCTGATACCTGGATTGCTCTATATATAATATCTATTGGTCAGTGTTTCAACCATCTATCCTACACTATCCACAGTCTGGTGTTTATCAACAAGTAAAACTGTCTTCTCTACAGATTTTCTGGTAATTGTACCAAACCAGTTCCTATGTTGCAAATGTCAACAAAGAAAACACAGACAACAAACTGCACAATGTATTGCCTCTATTTCTGTCCCGAAAGCTGGGGTGTTTGGTCATGTCAAGTGCCATGGTGGTCTAGAGAAAACGGTGGTGGAGGGTGCAGTTTCTGGAAAATGAGGCAGAGGCTAACCTCCGTGAAAGTGAATACAGGATGTTGACGATGCATTGACTAGGGGCTGGACAATGAGGCAGAGGCTAACCTCCGTGAAAGTGAATACAGGATGTTGACGATGCATTGACTAGGGGCTGGACAATGAGGCAGAGGCTAACCTCTGTGAAAGGGAATACAGGATGTTGACGATGCATTGACTAGGGGCTGGACAATGAGGCAGAGGCTAACCTCGGTGAAAGGGAATACAGGATGTTGACGATGCATTGACTAGGGGCTGGACAATGAGGCAGAGGCTAACCTCGGTGAAAGGGAATACAGGATGTTGACGATGCATTGACTAGGGGCTGGACAATGAGGCAGAGGCTAACCTCGGTGAAAGTGAATACAGGATGTTGACGATGCATTGACTAGGGGCTGGACAATGAGGCAGAGGCTAACCTCGGTGAAAGTGAATACAGGATGTTGACGATGCATTGACTAGGGGCTGGAAAACGAGGCAGAGGCTAACCTACGTGAAAGGGAATACAGGATGTTGACGATGCATTGACTAGGGGCTGGACAATGAGGCAGAGGCTAACCTCGGTGAAAGTGAATACAGGATGTTGACGATGCATTGACTAGGGGCTGGGAAATGAGGCAGAGGCTAACCTCGGTGAAAGTGAATACAGGATGTTGACGATGCATTGACTAGGGGCTGGACAATGAGGCAGAGGCTAACCTCGGTGAAAGGGAATACAGGATGTTGACGATGCATTGACTAGGGGCTGGGAAATGAGGCAGAGGCTAACCTCGGTGAAAGGGAATACAGGATGTTGACGATGCATTGACTAGGGGCTGGAAAATGAGGCAGAGGCTAACCTCAGTGAAAGTGAATACAGGATGTTGACGATGCATTGACTAGGGGCTGGAAAATGAGGCAGAGGCTAACCTCGGTGAAAGGGAATACAGGATGTTGACGATGCATTGACTAGGGGCTGGAAAATTCGCTAGAGAAAGAAAGACTTTCAGGTGTGCTGTCATGAGAGTGATGTTCTGAAACAGACATGCAGATTGATTGATTGATTTCTGATTCAAGGATTCATTCATTTGCTTTATCATATTTTATTGTTAATGTTTTCCAGCTGTAAACTCCAGCAGGAAGTCCTGGTTATCACCCACTTCTGGGCTTTTTGTGTGTGTGTGTGCTTTGTTTGTTTGTTCAAAACTGTGTTACTTGCCACAACATGCACACACTTTCTACTCTACCTTAAACTCTGACAAAGACAACACACACACACACTTTCTACTCTACCCTAAACTCTGACAAAGACAACACACACACACTTTCTACTCTACCCTAAAATCTGACAAAGACAACACACACAGACTCTTTCTATTCTACCTTAAACTCTGACAAAGACATCATGAGCTCATCAAGCTCCCTGGTAGCTGACGAGGTGTTCTGTTGTTGGTGGTAAGATGATGATGATGAGGAAGAAACCCCTGTGATGTAAGGTGAATTGTGCTGATGCTGGGAATGGTTGGAGGTTACCGTACTCAGTTCTTGGTAGTTCGGATCCAGGGGAAATCTGCAATATAGTGAATAAAGTTATCACTACTCTGACAATAACACTGGATCTTAAAATAATTTTTGCTCAAAAGGCGCCTAAGAGAAAGTCTTATTTTTTCTATCTACATTTATGTTATTATTTATTTAAAGCAATAATCAAAACAATGTTTCCTTGTGAATTTGAACAAAGGAAACACAAACAATAGCATTAAAGCATTCACCATCATGTAGTCAGGTCCTTTGCATAACGTCGCTCTCATCACGATCTTTCTGAAAGAAACTCGGTCTCTCACCAGCTCTCCTGCCTTGTGTTCATTAATATTTAAGGAGTCACTTATATCCTGCACCCATCTTCGTGTTGGTAGGCCCCTGCCCCTCCCTCCTGGTACCATGCCTTCTGCTTTAATTTGTGTCCAATCCACCATGGCACTTGATATGACCAAAATATTTCAGCTTCTGAGACAAGATGCTGTTTTTTAGCCAATCTTCCTTGATGTTCATATCTTTTAAAATGTCAATATTTCTTCTCTTCTTTGTCTATGGTATTCTGAGAATCTTTCTATAGTGTTTCAGCTAAAACCCCCTTATTTTCTTTCTAAGGAAGCATTATTTACTTTCATTTTTGTTTTGCACATTCATTACTTCACAATTGAACATGCTCGTTATGATTTTCAATGGACGACAAACTCCCTATCTCTGGCTGAGGATCTCAACTTGGGCTTATATTTGAGGTAGGGCTTATATTTACTGTAGGGCTTATCTTTGACACAGTGCTGATATTTTAAATAGTTACCTACTTGTCTGATTTATAACTGTCTACAGTTCAGATCTACAAACTAACTGCTACCTCTAAGAATGACAAACTTAATGTCCACTTGTCCAAATAATGACAGGGCTGTCTTCCTTTCTGGTTGCTGACCCTCTACAGCTCAGAACTGACCGCTATTTCTCCTAAAGACAAAGGAAATGCGTATCTCTCTTAATAATAAAACAGCTACCTGCCTTTCTAAATAAAGAAATAGAGGTCTAGCCCTATGTGCCTAAAGGTGTGGAAAAGGGTCCTTAACTTTTTTTTTTTTTTTTAACTACCTCTGAAAAGGACAATGTGAATGCCTATCTTTCTAATGGCTGTCTGCCTTTCTGAATAAAGAAATGGAGACTACCTCTCCAAAATTATGAAAGGACTAATTACAATTCAGATTATCAACATAACCTACCTGTGAAAAAGACAATGTGAATACCTATCTCTCTAATGGCTGTCTGCCTTTCTGAATAAGGAAATGGAGGCTACCTTTCAGAATAGTGTGACAATGTGAATGCCTATCTTTATAATGGCTACCTGTCTTTCTAAAAAAAGAAATGGAGGCCTACCTCTTCAAATAATGAAATGCCTGCCTACAATTCTGAATAACAATTAAACTGTCTACAATGGAGATTATCAACCTGTTACCTTTCAGAAGGACAACATGAATGCCTACCTCCCTGGCTGATGTCCAGTCCCCTCTAGCTCATCCAGCAAGTTCTCCACAGAGCTTCTAAGAACTGATTTACTGGCTGGCTTTGGAGCTACATGTGTAGGCTGCTTACCCACTCCTCCATTCACTGTCACTTCGTTGACTGGAACATTCCAAAAGGTAGACATGTAAGTTACAAAGTAGTTCATTACATGGCATTATCACAGAAACATGAAAGGCTGCTGTACAACACTAGTCTGGATGACCTATAGTCCTAAAACTTTGGGAGGTAAGAACCAGGCAACCAGACCATCTGGGACGATGCAGAGTTCACTGTGCCTAGTTGACCATGTTCTTAGTGCACCTGTTTCCATGGCGAGGCGTGCAAGCCATCTGGAGGTGACAGGTTCGATTCCCGGCATGGTAACTATGCTTTCGATATTTAGGTTGTCCAGTGTGTTCTTCTGTCTGTCTTCTTATTTCTATAAGTGTCGATCAATACACTGTCTGATTGTTTATCACAGGGTTCACTGTGGCGACATCCGATAGTCCCTGGTTGACAGAGGACTCGCAAGGGAAAAAAGCCAAAAGGAAAACTATAGATAGAGAAGTCCAGCGATCTCCCTGGCAAACCCCAAAGGCAGAAGAGGAGCGACTAAGTAAGTAAGTATGGTCCCCAAGCGTGATGTATCAACTTGCCAGGCAGTGGAGTTTTTGTACTGGCGGAGAAATGGTGAAGGTGGGTGGGTTGATGCTACGCTTGTAGATTGCTGAATTTTACACAAAGTTATTTTACACAGGTATTCTACCTGACCCTGTAATTAAAGAAGAGTTAGTTATATATCCGTTACCAGACGTAGCAGAACCAACCACCGTATATTCTGTTGTGGTTTTTCTAGGCAAATGTTACGTCCAGTAGTTTGCCACTGCCTCTAAACGGGCAGCTCTCGGTACCGCTGTCGAAACCAAGGCAATCAAACCGTTCGCAGCTGAGATCGAACCCGGCACACCGGCATTATTAAGCGCGTTTACAACGCCTAAGTCACAAACGACGATCTAGCATTCTCGGGTAAAAAGCCACACAAACAAAAAAATAATACTGTGTATTTTGTGAACGTTAACATCACCTGATAACAGAGGCATCAAAACAGGGTGTCAGTAGACCTCTCTCCGCTTTTCAACTTCCACATTAGAAAATCACCTAAAATGTGTGTATCAGAGAGAGAGAGAGAGAGAGAAAGAGAGAGAGAGAGAGAGAGAGAGAGAGAGAGAGAGAGAGAGAAAGAGAGAGAGAGAGTGAGAGAGTAGAGAGAGGCCGAGATTATGACAAACACACACCTTTGATTGATGCAAAAGGTCAGAGGTGGGGGAATGTTCCAACCACACATCGAAAGGATTATAAAGACAATGGAATTGAACCGAGTATTCAACAGTCAGTTACATACAAGGTGTAAAAGGCACATGATATTGATTATGAGAAGATGTACTTACTATTCATGACACTTTCTAAAAGAATATTTTGTGTGAACACATGAACGAAAAATACATGCATGTATATATACATACTTAAGTACGTACATACACAAATAAGCACACACACACACACTTTCGCGCGCAGGCAATGACACTTCTTTCATTCCTACGCTTGACAGTCACTGCAGTGGCAAGCATTGTTACAAACATTCACACGCAATTTTAGAGCCCGAGAGAGAAGGAGAGAGAGAGAGAGAGAAAGAGAGAGACAGAAACAAGAGAGAGAGAGTGACTGATTTAGAGAGAGAGAATGGGAGAGAATGAGAGGGAATGGGAGGGAAGGGTAGAGAGAGAGAGAGAGAGCGAAAAATGGAGAGAGAGAGAGAGAAGAGAAAAATGGAGAGAGAGAGAGAGAGAGAGAGAGAGAGAGAGAGAGAGAGAGAGCCAGCCTAAATTCCATTACAGCGATTAACTTTACTTTTTGGCAAATTTCTTCCATTTAGCCAGAAAGAAAGCCAATGTGGCTCAGCCCGTAAGAACAGTTTTCTATCTTAGAAGTACAGCCATGCAGTTTCTCCGTTATATTTTTTAAATTTTTCATTATATGAGAGAGGCTTGTGTACCCGAGCCAATGTGTGTGTCTTTGTAGACCAGGTAAGTTGGGTGTTCAACGTGCGGTGGGGCTGAGCGAGAGAGAGAGAGAGAGAGAGAGAGAGAGAGAGAGAGAGAGAGAGAGAGAGAGAGAGAGAGAGAGAGAAGGGAGAGAAGGGAGAGAGAGGGAGAGAAAACAGTAGTAGCTGCAGATAAAACACGGATTCCGATCAGGTACTAGATCTCTGTACTAGACGGTTTGGCGAGGCGAAATGTGAAAACACAAGATGTAGTAGATCTAGGATGAGTCAAGCTTAGAACATCCCTCACATAACACCAAGGGGAAAGTTATGTAGGCGGCTAGGTTTGCCTTGAAACACCCAGCAAATAGGTGGGCAGGTAAACGATGTCTATAAGCACAACCCTAAACCCTAAAAGTAGGTAAATGCCAATAGAAGGGTATAGAGAGAGAGAGAGAGCTAGTCTTGAAATATTATGCGGTGATGTGGACTGTTAATTTTCGACACACCGTGCGATTGATGAGTTTGGGTTCGTAAAAGTCTGACTTGAAAGAATGAATGAATCAATCAATAAAGACATGACCTCACTGAACTCATGGTATTATCCCATTTGTTTCCCGGCTGATGTTCTGGGGCCCTGTTGTGGGGAAAACAAGAAACTTCCCCCAACAAGCATGCCGTAAGAGTCGACTAATTGGGAGCTTCCTTCGAAATCGGAATGCCTATGCCTGAGAGTCAAGGAACCAGCAAACTGCATACAAATGAGTCAGATCTGTAAAACCAATGTGCAGGCAAGACTCCGGTTATGGAACAGGACTACAGTCCAGAAGTGGACGAACAACCAGAACTTTCCGCCGGAGTTTTACAGGCGGTGAAAGCGACGATAAAGAAGAAGATCACAGGTGCGCTGTGCCTATCCTCAGCAGCCAACGAAGAGTTCCGATACTGACGTTACCAGCTGCAACGATCAAAAGACTACCCTTGGGAGTTGAAAAGGCCAAAGACCTCTGCATACTCTCAGCTAAACCAGCCTCTTCGAGGTGTGCATAGTCTCTTCCGTTGCACTATCCACTTTTTCCAAGAGGGCCTTTATCACATCAGCCTTTTGTTTTTAAATATCAAGAAACCATGAGTTGTTAACCCTTTGGCTCGGTACTGTGGATATTGCAAACCCTTCGGCTTTGATTCTATGATAGATATGGTAATTCTGGGAGACATGTGGCTTGTCTGCCTATCCCCGGGCGTGAAACCGGACCACAAGGAGTTCGTCACCCGGTCGCCGAGAAGTCAGGTTTAACCAACTATGCTAGCGAGCCGGGCCCACGTCAGCCTTAAGATAAGTTATTCACATAAATCAACAGAGTGGTAACCCTTGAAGCCAAGAAAAATTACACATATAATTAACATAGAGACAGTGTATTGATCAGCACTGATAGAAAGCAGAAGAAAGATAGAAGGACACACTAGACAGCATATACATCGAAAGCTATAGTTACCGTGCCGGGAATCGAGCCTGTCACCTCCATTTGGCGTGTGCGCCTCGCTATGGAAACAAGCGTACTAAGAACACAACCAACTAGGCACCCCCACCACAAAGATGTCTTTGTTTTGCATGTCTATCGTACAGCTTGAAATCAGCAACTACGGAATATGGACATAATTCATCTTAAATAATAGATTCTGATATATTTTTCAGTCAGTGGATTATTCAAGTAGCTCAGATATCTTCCTGAACTGACCCAACTTCCTTTAGAGCAGGGTTGTTCAACTATGTTTACTCATAGTCCGGCGATAGTGCCAATCGTTCTGTACAATTGTAAAACTCTAGCCTTATATGCACAATTCGCCATAATGCGTGGGAAAAAGGCCTATTACTCAGGGGGCAAAACGTTGAAAGTGAGGATCGTCACAAGCCAGAGGACCGAGCCACAGCGTTGAAAGTTCATTAATACCATAAACCGGGCAATGATCCACGGGCCTCTTGCTAGGTCTCCGCGAGCCGAGTTCGGCCGATGGGCCGCAAGCTAAATAGCCCTGATTTAGAGTGAGTCTAGTAGTTGAGATTTTACGACATCAGCTAACGGAGAATTTACCAAAAACGTCGTATTTCATAGACTACGGGTCTAGATTAAGTGCAGGCACACATATTCAATTCTACGTGATGTTAGAGATCGCAAAACGTGGAGACACGTGATCGCCCACGCCAATCGGCGTTAATCTGTTAATGATCTTGATCATGATGATGATTATAACGACGATCATTCAATTACTGCATTCCTACAAGCTATGCTGGCAATCTGTTTGTTGACATAATCACACAAACCGACTACAACCGGCTTCTGGGTTCACTCTTCAAAGGGTCGGTTAGCAAGTTGTGGTTTATACTCCGCACTTTACGCTACGCAGATAAAAAGAAAAAAGAATACATTGTCGAAACACTCACATCCATACAGAAGTTGGTTACGTAGTAGGGATTGAACAGGTAATAAACTCACATGTTTAAGCGTATGGGAACAGAGTGCTAGAGCTATTATGTTTTTTCAGACCACTCGGCATTCGGTGGACGATGTGGTCAACATCACGCCGGCCGACTTTACTTCCCAGGACTCTACCTAGAACTCATTTAAGGCTGGGTCGATCTGGAATAAGTAATAACGATTGTGAAACTTTGAAACGACGTGCGCCCGGTACTGCCTGATAAACACAAAATTGGAAATAAAGAAGTCGGAAAACACCTCTTTCTGTTTGTGTTGTTCACCTGTATCCCTAAGACGCAGTCTCGTAATGTGCGCATAAACAATAGCATCATGTGCCAGATCTAACTCCGGACATCTTCAGAATGACTTGGTAAACGGGACACTGGTTTCTCCTAAAATGTGCCGCACGAATGTTCTCTTAGGTTCTCAAGGAATGTTAAAGCGCAAAGGTTAGCTAGCTATTTCCCACTGTGCTCAGAGATGTTTATATTACCCGTCTTCAGTGCATGTATTTACCACCTTTAGGACTCTACGTCGTTGCTGTATTCAATGTCAAAAAAGCAGACACACTTATCAACTCCTCAGGGGAACAATTGGAAGAG